GAGAGACATTGGCGAACAGGTAAGTCTCCAACCCCGCGCCTGGCCGCGCGCTATTTGCATCGATAGGATGAGCAAAATCGAATTGCCTGTTGGCCGGTGCGTTGCTCGTTCTATCGATGGAAAACTCTCTCTCTCTCTCGCGCGCGTGGCTAGCCATGTGGCGGGCCATTTTTCTTTTGTTTTTTTCATAGGAGATGGCTATGGCGGGATGTTTGTCGCGTTGTTTGGCGGAGGAGGAGCGGGAGGAGGAAGAGAGAGGCAGCCATAGCGGGATCGGTGTCCAAGAATGAGCGAGAGCTAAATTGAGTCCTCTCGATGATGGAGGCGGGAATCATTTGATGAGAGAGCAATGCAAGTCGGCGAAGAGCGGCTTGGTTTTCGTTGCTCTTCTCTCTGTCTCTCTCTCTCTCTCTCTCTCTCTCTCTCTCGTGGATCTAATCTCCGCCGTTGATCTTGGCCGGAAACACGGACGGTACGTCACACTCATTGAGTGTTGATCTTCCAGAACAGGCGACGCAAGCAAAGACGCACATCGCTGGCAAACAGACACACACACACACACACATAGAGGGAGAGAGAGAGAGAGAGAGAGAGAGAGAGAGAGAGAGAGAGAGAGAGAGGTCCTTCAACATCATTCAGTGTTAATCTTCCACATCGCAGGCGACGGAAGAAAACACGCACATCGCACGCTAACAGAGTCAAAGAGCGAGCGAGCGAGCGCGCTAGAGAGAGAGAGAGAGAGAGAGAGAGAGAGAGAGAGAGAGAGAGAGAGAGAGAGAGAGAGAGAGAGAGAGAAGGAGAAGGGCGGGGAGGGGAAGCGGAGCGGGTGTTAGAGGGGGGGAAAGGGAGGAGGGAGAAGGGAGGAGGGAGAGATGGGAATGATGAGTGTCGATGATGGAGTAGGAGTAGGAGTAGTAGTAGGAGGAGGAGGATTGACACGAGGAGGGATGGAGAAGTCAGCGATGGTTCAAGCCCGATTGAAGTTGGCGGGAAAGTCGATGGAGACGTTCGTGAAGAGGGCTGTGGACGATGCCACGTGGCCGCCTACTGAGGAGTACTCGGACGAGGTGTTGATCCCGATCGCGACCGGCGTGATCGCGATCTTGGCAGTCGTGTTGAAGGCGTGCCTTTCGTACACGCTTGGAAAGCTCTTTTGAAGGCATAACCGCGCATCCCGACCGATTGCCATCCATCCCGACCGATGTCCATCCATCCCGACCAATCTGCATCCATCCCGACCGATGTCCATCCATCCCGACCGATCTCCATCCATCCCGACGCGTTTCGATCGGTTGGGATCCGATCATCGACGGGGGCCTTTCCACAGGAGAGGCGCGCTCGATTTGGTCAAAGGTCTGGCGTCGGGATGGAGGGAGATCGGTCGGGATGGATGGAGATCGGATTTCGAGGATCTTCTAGGAAACGAGACATGGGACGCAGTCGCTACAACAACCTGGATTTTGTAAACACGTGTTAAAAAGACAAAAAAAAGAAAACGAAAAAAAACGGAAGTTTAAAAAAACAAGAAAAAAAAAAAAAAAATGAATGGCATGCGAGTCTTCAGGTAACCGAAAAGAAGAAGAAGAGAATGTGGAGCGATGGACGAATGTTGTTCTCTTTTGGTGCTCTCTCTTTCTTTTTCGGTTTCGTTTTGTTCCAACGAATCTGATTTGTCATATGGCGGAGCTCGTACTTCGATTCCAGGTGTTATCCCAGGTGTTGAAAAAAGAGAGAGAGAGGGAGAGAGAGAGAGAGAGAGAGAAGAAGAAGAAGAAGAAGAAGAAGAGAATGTGGATCGATGGACAAGGGACTTTTCTGCTGTCCTCTTTTGGTGCTCTCTCTTTCTTTTTCGGTTTCGTTTTGTTCCAACAAATCTGATTTGTCACATGGCGGAGCTCGTATTTCGATTCTTGGGGTCTGGTCCCACCTAACGTTGTTGAGTTTAGAAAACTCAACGGTGTGACGCCATTTCGACATTAATAAATTCAAAACAAGAAATAAGAAAACTGGAAAAAACGCTAGAAACAATTTTTCTCCTTTTTTTTGTAACGTAATTCAGATAAATGAAACATGTGTGGAATAGTCGGAGTGAAAAAGGGATACTCCCCGTGGTGAGGGGACAGGAGGTCCCCATTTGTAAAATGGACAGGGACGACGTGGATGGCCAAATGCATTCATTGCCCAAAGAAGGAAACGAGTTTGATGCCAGACAGCCAAACACAGCTGTCAGAGTTCCTCCGTTTCAGGATGCAATGAGGTTTGAAAAAACAAAAAAAAGGAAAGGCACTATCGTTGAGAAATGTACCCTACCCTCGGTAGGGTAGTTTTCTCAACGGAAAATGGCTTCCCGCCCAAACCAAAAGGGCCAACGCATACCACAAAACGGATTTCACGTCAAAGAAAAATTCTACAAAATGATCAAATCTAATAGGTTGTTCTCCTGTATTTTGGCACCGTCAGATTCGCAATACATCAACGGCAGAGCTCCGTCCCACCATGCCACACGTGATAGAAAGCTCAGCATTGAGAAAACTCTCCTCTGTATGTGGAACCAGACCCTAGGTGTTATCCCAAACGTTATCTTATTCAAAAAGAGAGAGAGAGAGAGAGAGAGAGAGAGAGAGAGAGAGAGGGGGAGGGAGGAAGTGAAAGGGCGTTGCGCATGTGACGGTCCAAGTCTACTACCACCTCTTCTGTTCTCTGTCGCCTTTGCTCTTTGTTCTGCTCTGCTTTCTTTCTCCTATCAGTTTGCGAGCTATGGTGTCTTCGCTCTTTCTCGATCACCTTCTCTCCGCTCTGCTCTCTAGCCTTTGTTGAATGTCGCCTTTGTTGCTCCCTACTCTGCTCTCCTTTCTTTCTCCCATCAGTCTGTGAGCTATGGTGTCTTCTCTCTCTCCATCCATGCACGCAGACACACACACACACACACACACACACACACACACACACACACACACACACACACAGAGAGAGAGAGTTTTCCAGCCATGCGCGCAGACAGATAGAGAGAGGCTACTTCCGTCGATAGGATGAGAGAGAGAGAGAGAGAGAGAGAGAGATTTTTGCGTGTATAGCGAATATGATGACAAAAATAATAATAATAATAATAAAAAAACGCAGTGTAACAACAACGGCCCCGCCTCCCTCTTCGTCCCTCTCCTCTGCTGCGGCGGGTCCACTTGTATTAATAAAGGAGACAACTATATCAGGCTTGGGCGCGCACTAAAACGACAAGTTTAAGCTTGGGAGCGCAATAAAGTACCAATACCTGGCATGGGCACGCAGCAAAACAACAACGTTCCAAATGGGAAGCACGTTGCCTGATCATCACTAAATACTAGTAGGAACATTGGCCATCGTCACTGTTCAGAGTGTGAACATAGTCCAGCAACAGAGTCTAGCGTTTGCCGCAGTCCGAGATTACTGCAGTCCAATATTACAGCAGTCCAATCATTACCGAAGTCCAAAATAACCGCAGCCCAACATTTACCGCATTGAGCAGTCGACAGTGTTGCATTACCGTTCTGAGCATGAGCACTAAGCACAATCCAACATTCATTGCATTGAGTAGGAACATAACAGTGGATCATAAAAGTTGCAACTTGGCGAGCATCGACTTCATCGCACAACCCTCAGTTCTAAGGAGGGTGGGGGATCTCATTATATAGACTTGTTTTGTGGGTAAGGTCTCGGATTAAAAAGCCTGCGAACAGTGCACTGGTGCGCAATTCCTTGCTTGCGGGGAGAGTCTCAATCTACTGACCAACAAATACTGCGCTGGTGCGCTATCCTAGCTCGTGGGCAGAGTCCCGGTCATTGAACCAGCGAGCACTGCGCTGGAACGCAATTCCTGCCAGTGGACCGAGCCCCAATCAACGCTGGTGCACGACCACAATCCACGAGCCAGCTAATACGCAACTTCAATGAGCGGCGTCTCAGTGTATGTGCCAGCAAGTGACCAGCCCAGGTATGCAGCCCCGATCTTCGTGTCAGCGAGAGCCAACGCTAGTACACAATCCCAATCAGTAGGCCGACATTCACACGTAGATCATGGCCAATAAGAAGGCAAGCAAGTGTGGAGAAATCCCGATCCTTCGATAATGCTGATGGGGCATGCAAATCCTGTCTTAAAAGGAGGCTGACTACGACGTAGGGTAACGCCCGATGGTCAATGTCGGTGCGTGGATCTAACGGCAATGGAGCACACGACGTTGGCTAGGAGGCATGTACGGGGCGCAGTGACCTTCAAAGTGATGCACACAATTGCGAGCGGATTCACAGTGAGCCACGGCTTGCACAGAGCGCTCAGATCGAGATCGGTAATAGCAAGGAGATCTCAATCAACTGAAATGCGTGCTAGGGCGCACCGATTAAAATAGCAAGAAGAACGAATCAGTCAACAATAGCAGGTAGATCCTAATCAACTATGGTGCGCGTGTGGGGGTGCTGATTAAATCAGCAAGAACGTATTGACTCAGATCATCGACTACAGACAGTGGGCGCCCACGGGCACACGGGATAAATAGGAGTAAATAGACTTGGGGTTCGAGCGAAGCAAGAGTGAGTGTATGAGCCAGGAAGAGAGAGTGAGAGGGAGAGAAGAGAGAAAAGGGTTGAAAGGAAGAATGAGAGGAAGGAAAGATGAGGAAAAGGAGGTGGGCGTGAGCAAACAGCGGAAGTGCAGCAACTCAAAATGAGACACCCTGCCTTCTGCACCCGCCCGAAGCTGCCCAACCTCTCTTGTACATCTCCCCCTTGCTTGCCTCGTTCTCGTTAAGCTTGCTTCCTCTTCTGCTCGTCCCAATGCGTTGGCCTTGGCTCCCACTGCTCCTTTCTGCTCCGCCAGCGTTTTAGCGTTTCACTCATGCGTTGTCTGTGTATTGCGCATGCACCAACCATTCTTATATATTGGTGGCTGGTGCAGTCAACCAGCCCTGCTACTTGGACTGGCGCCAGCCCCGAGTAGTTGAACAATCAGTCCCACGCTAAAAATAGTGTGGGACTGTGATAATTTTAGTACGGGAGTGGCACATGCACAGTCCCTGGTAGACGAACAGTCAGTCTGACACTATTTTTAGTGTGGGACTATGCTAATTTTAGCATGGGATTGGCACAACCCAAGTCCTTGGTAGACGATCAGTCAGTCCCACGCTAAAAATAGCGTTGGATTGTGCTAATTTTAGCACGGGACAGGTGCAGGCCCGCCTTTGGGAAACAAACAGTCAATCCCATGCCTAAAATAGCACTTGACCTTATCTTAATTATTACTAGGGTCAGGTTATTCATTTACGTGACCGTTTTGGGGCTATTCCTCTTTCGACGAAGTTAGGTGGTCGCATCGGTCCGGTGTCGGGACTGGTGGGTCCTGAATAACTTCCCATCGCTCGAGATATTGAATATGGACGAATCGTGCACAATAGAGAAATCTGGAGTGAGGAGGCAGGAGAGAGGAAAGACAAAGGATTAGGCCGCATGAGGAAGTGATGCCCTGGGGTGAGAACCACAGGATGAAAGAACTAGCGACTGCAAGAGAGCAAGCACAAGAACAGGGGCACATAGAACATAGCATGAGGCCGGGAGGGCCGTTGGAATGCAATAAGACTAAGGCCAAAGGGCCCTTGAACCAGCAAAACGCAGCACGACAACGATAAAAGAATGAGGGAGTCGAGGGACGGACGGCCCAGAGGCCGCAGGAAAATAGAAAATGAGGGGCCAACACCGGGGCCACCTACGGGAGCCTCAGGGTGGAGGCCCGCGACAAAAGAGAGCGGCGCGCGCAAGGCGCAAGAAAATACAAGGGACGGCAAAACGCCCAAGGGACGTGGGACACCTCGGGGAAAGGCATCCGGGGCCACCATCCGGGGTGAAATGTGCTGGGGACCGCCGGCGGGACTAAGTGCCGGGGACCGCAGACGGGAATAAGTGTCGGGGACCACCGGCGGGACTAAGTGTCGGGGACCACCGGCGGGACAAGTGGCGGGGACATGTGAAAGTCCCAAGAAGAAACGGTGGCACCGCATCAGGGAAAATAATAAAAGCAGGTGCACCGTCAAGGTCGAGATCTTGACGACCAAGAATATTAGCACCACTAGTGCAAGCACTAGCGATGGTAAATGGGAAGGCCGAAAAGAA